GATGGACTATGATCTTTTTGTTTGTATTGTTTTGCCAAGATACCTAGCATGCATACCATGGCCATTTTAAGGCAACAAAGTGGATGAAACCCTAGGGGTGCTTGTGTGCATTGTTTGATTTTTTTGTTGGTCTTTTGCATACAAAACCCTAATCTTACTATCATGCATATAATACGATAAATTGCGTAATGTAAATCTAAACTATTACAACAATATTATGGGAAGGGGGATACAAGTTTTGAAATGGGGGATATTGCTCAAAATAAAACCCTAAAACTATTACAACCAAATTGAATTTATGCAATAAATAAATAAACAAGTATTTAAATATGCAAAGAATGTTTTTTGTATTTGTTTTATGTATGTAAAATAAATTTATTTATGTCCTAAAAATAAGAAAATAAAAATGATTATTTTTGGAAAGGGTAAAAACCCTAATTTTTGTTTAAGAAAATATACTTTATATTATTTATTTTTTTTCAAGAAAAATAATAATAATATGTACAAAAATGTTAAAAATTAAAATGTGTATGAAAATATTATTTTAAGTGTATAAATAATAAAAATAAAATGTATAATATTTTTGTATAATTTACAAGTTTTATTTAAGAAAAATAAGTTATATTATTATTAATAAACTATTTTTATGCCCAAAAAATAATAAAAATAATAAAATAAAATGCAAAAAATTAAGAAAATATTTTTGATATTTTTCAATGTTTAGAAAAAATAAATAAAGTCAGAAAATATAAAAGTAATAAAAAATATACAAAAATAAAACAAATGGGTCATGGGGGTGCAGAAAGTAAACAGGGGGTGCCAAAAGAACAAAGCCCAAGCACCAGGCCCAGATAGCTTCATCCCTGACCTTGGAACAAACACGCGCGCGCCCTGTTTAAATCAAACTGTATCTCCTGCATACGTACTTAAAAACAAAATCTTGCAACATGAAACTTGTAGCATTTTTAGTCGCGATTCCATTGATATAAAAAACTTTACCTAACTCTCAAAGATCAGAGAGAATTTCAGTGGCCCTAAATCTTGACCTAGTTTTTTCAGCATGTTCATCATCCAAATTATCCTAGCTCTGTTAATATAAATGGAATTTATGCATATGTATAGTTCAAGCACATTACAGACTATATTTTTGCTTCACAAACCTAAGCCTAATGATGCCTAAATAAGGAGTTAGAATCTTGACAAATACCTGTTTCAGTTAAGTTTGGATATGGCAATGTAGGAGTTGTGAGTGAGGCCTGAAGGTCGTGCTAGCTTGCCTGAAGTTGTCTCAACCTTTTCCAATGCTTAGCTTGCTTTGGACTTGCCTGAATGTCCCTGTAGAAGTCAACCTGCAAAGCTTCAAAATGAAAATGGTGAAGTGTGAAAATGAAGTTACAGTTGCTGGACAGTGACTTGGATAGTTTAGGTGGGTTATAGGGAATGTGTTTGAAGTGATTCAAGGAAAAACGCACGAGCCAAATTGGTTTTGGAAGTGGTTCTGCAGAGATGGCCCTGTTTTGGGAAGAAGTTGGTGTTTTTGTGTATTTGGGTGTTAGAGAGGTTGTAAACTCGTGCTTTTGGCTTGCTACAATATGCTCAGATTGTTTGAAAATGTTGCAAGACTTGGTTTTATCAGATGCACCAGTTGTGGACCTTTTGCAAGCTTACTTGCTTTTGAAGCAAAAGTTGAGTTGACAAAGCCAAAGCCTGTACAGGATAGCTCAAGGCCTGAGGAGAGTTGGTACACTTTTCCTGATGTTTGTGAATGTTGTTTGTATCAAGAGATCAGGTTCAATGCTCAAGATAAACAAAATTGCGAAAAGTATGCTTTACGGAAATGGTATTGCAACCTTTATGCCATTTTTGGAATAATTCTTTATGTAATGCTCCATAGCTCAGAACAATGCCAATATCCATTGTATTTGCATTAAATTAAGGAGTGTGGAAAGGTTTAAGACCTGTAAAACAAGTACAAGCATGCTTAGGACAGATTTGCAACTTGTAGCAATGTGCAAAATGTCATGGACAAAAGTGAGAAATGGCCATTTTCATTCCTTTAATTCTCTCTAACCACAAATGATCTTGGAGAGTTCTTTGACATTTTGGAAAGCTTGTAACATGCTCTACAATCCATATTTGAAATGAATTTTGAGATTCCACTTGGAACTATGTGAAAAGTTGCCATGAAGATAGGTCAAAATCCTGCCTAAACTAGGGCAAAATTTCACAAGTTAAAAGTTTTATGGACCCCTATTCACAAAATCATAACTTGAGATCCAAACATCTTTTGGGAAAACTTTGTGAATCAAAGTTGTAGATTTTATGGAGGACTAAAACTTTAATGTTTGAAGTTTTATTTGAATCCAATTGCAATATGGTGAAAAAGTTGGGAGAAAATTAGAAATTTTCATAACTTAGAAAATTTCGAAGTTATGAAATTTTTCAATCTTAAACCCTAATTTCAAAAATTAGGTTTCTTGGTGAACAAGTTTCATGTTTTAACACATCTTGATGAAAAATGACCCTTGGCACTTGATTTTGACCAAAAATTCAAAGTTTGACTTTTCAGTGTACAGTTGATTTTTGATCAGTTGACTGGAAAATTCATCTGTCAATCCAATGCATTTGAGATCTTTTGAACTATGTGATTAGGTAAAGATGATGCCATTGAGTCCTTGAAAGCTTGAACCCAATTTTCCATTGGCTAGTTTAAAAATCAGAAATTGCCCTTCTGCAGTAAAAACCCTAAAAATGAGCATTTTACCCTTTTGTTGATCTAATCAAATTTCTTGAGGAGTTGTGGTCCAAACTTGATCAAATGGTTCATATGAGTCTATAATGTTGATATGGATAAAACATTATGAGGTTTGATTGTAAATTGGCCATAATTGACTTTTTTTCCCCAATACAACTGATTTTTAGGTCAACTGTCCAATTGACTTGGCAAAAATTTGATTCAAAGCTTGAAACTTGGTATGAGCAATCTTAGGAGTCCAACATGAAGTATGGAAGTCACATAAGGCATTGGAAGTCCAAAAATCCCTGTGCAAACTCAAACCCTAATTTCAGGTCATCAGTGCAAGGAGATGTCTTGAGTTGAGCAAACCCTAATCTTGTCTGGAGTTCAAAGAGTCTTGTGAGGAGAATCTTAATAAAATGAGAGGGCAAATTTTGGGGTACAACAGTTACCAATTTACAAATTCACACAAGAGACGAAAACAATGCGTTTTGGTGAGTTATTAGGTTAAAAAAATATGTCGCTTCAACTTTCTTTCTCTCAAATTGCTCAACGGCGATCCGTCTCAATACCTCTTCTCCAACGACCCATGAACCTTTCTCTCTTCGTCTCTTATTTCAAATCACCGCCTACATCCCTTTCATCTCATCCCTGATTCGGCTCACAAACTCTCTTCTGATTCACTCATCGCCATCTCTATTTCGCTGATAAACTCCTTTCTGATTTGCTCATTGCCATATATGTTTCGCTCATAAACTCTTTTTCCGATTCGCTCATCGCCATCTCTATTTCGTTCATCACTCGTTTCACTTCTCAGATTTATTGACTAGTTTTTGACTCATCAAATATCACTCTATTCTTATCTTGCTCGCAATTTCGATTGATTTTAACACATTCAAACTTATATGAATCATTCAGTGAAGGAAAAAGATGAAAGAAGTAGAATTCCTTACCTACCGGAGATAGTCCGGTGCTCCTTCATATCAAAGAAGATTATCAGAAATCTAGCGGTAAGTTTCGCTTGCACTGCTTTATCTAATCCACTTTTCTTCGACTTTCTTGCTTTACGGTATGTGCTTCTATTGCGTTTCTCTGAGATTGATAGTTATGATTGCAGATGAAGAATGAACAAGTCGATGCGGTGAGGAGGATGTATGATAAAGTTGCAGCAAGGTTCCCAATTGAGAGAATCAGAGAGAGAGAGGAATCTGGAATTCTTCAGTTGTTCCTCGAGGAAAGAGTTGAGAGCATTAACCGTGGTTCTTGGGGGTGAGCCAGATTGAAGTAGAAGATGAGAGAAGAAAAATGGAGGAAATGGTTGAGATAAGAGAGGTTGCAGAGAGATCTTATGAAGAGGGTGAAGAATGAATTCATGAAATTCTGGCAAACCTCTTGAATGAAGGTGAGTTTTTCTTATATAGGTTGATGAAGGTAGTGAAAGTGGTTAGAGAAGAGAGGTTCAGAGCCATTGATGATTTCTAATTTGTTAGAAGATTCAAGGGTCAAGATTGAATTGGTTAGGGAGTTCGTTTTGGTTGGGAATTGCTAACTTTTGTTATATTCAGTTAGTTTGGTATTTGTTAGATACAGTTAGGGAATTTGCTAAGATCCTGTTGTGAAATCAGTTTTTGTTTCTGAATGTTGATTGGAAGTTAGTTACAAGCAGTTAGGAGGTTAGAAAGTTGGTTGGAATTTTGTTAGAGTTAGTTTTTAGATTAGAAACTATTTTCTGTTATGACAGTAATGGACTGGGTTTTTTGATGAACTGTTTTTTTTGGGTATTTTGCAGGGTCCTTTTTATAACAAAGAAAGAAGGTGCACTTTGTTCAAAACTAGGAGCGGCCTGAGAAGGTTTTGAAGCACCAAAAGATGCTGACCCATAAGGTTTTGGAGTGGTAAAAGACGCTGAACCATAAGAGGGTGTTGGGCGGGCAATTCTCTGAGGAGCACTGGCCTTCCGACTACCCAGTAGATCAAGCTCTATTGTGGAGAAATATTGAGAAGGAATTTCCATCAATGCTGCGAGAGCAAAAGCCGCCTCTTTTTATGAAGGAGGAATGTTTTTTTGGACATGATTTCCGTGAAATTCACAAACTGGAAATTATCAAATACCCTGGCTGGCATATTGTCATCAAACTCCTTCATCATGTCCCAAGGTCCATCTCCAACACCGACCAATATGATCGAAAGAGGAAATTTACCGGCTTCGACAATGGCATCCACAGTTTTTTGTTACTATGGACTAAGCCTCGCTTGATCAGTGTCAACACTTCTTGTAACCTGGCCATCTGCAATTTATCACTAAAACATGGTATTGGCCTCCACTTTGCTCAACAACTGTCATTTCCATTTCAACAATGGGTGCAAAGGATGTAGGGCCTACAAGCCGAATATTAGGAACAATTTCCCTATACCGACTTAGAACTTCTTCAAATTCATTGCAAAATCTTTCATCTGGATAGAAACTAAAGACATCTTGATCATGTTTTGATGCATCTCCAAATCCAAAACAAGGAATCAAGTTATCCTCATCAAATGCGGCCAAGGTTTTTTCCAACAAATGATATTGCTTGTTCATAGGGATTTGGACCATTCCCGATGTGATGCAAAAAAAATTATGTTAAATGAATGTATTCCTGTCCACTCATTGCTCTTGGTGAAGTCAATTCCAAGAATAAGATTGGAAGACTCAAGGCCTGCACATGCAAGAGCCTCAGTCACCTCATCTATGGAGTTGTAACTATCAGCAATCCTTGAGTATTTCCTCTCTAACTTTCTCTTATCGTCTTGACGGGGCACTCTACCACTAGTATGAGGCTCATGGTCATAATTTTGTGGAGGAGGAGGAGGCCGGGTATCATAATACGGTTGATAAGAAGGTTGTTGTGCATCATAGCTATATGGATAACCACCCTGACCGTAACCCAAATGAGGATCAGGATATGAATTCCACGAAGAAGCCGAAGCAAATGAACTTAGTCTCAAAGATGAATCCTACCTCAAATTTTCCTCTTTAGAACTTTGTCCCCCTATCAACTTAATTCTCTGTTTTTTTTTTGTTTTCTTTGGTTATTAATGAATGCAGATCCGGAATTTGGTCGTAGACTTGCGATGCTTAATTGCTTTTGTTTATGACTGTTTTTAAATATTTAGTGTAAATTTTTGTTTTGATTTAGAAATTTTGGATGTAAATGGCCTTTGTAATTTTCTCTTGTAATGCTCCAATAACATAGCTTGTAAATTGCATGGTTATGACCAAGAATGAAGTTGGATAATATTTTGACAAGTCATGTGTGATGTTTAGAACTTGTAAAGATCATATCATTGAATGAACGTGAACCCTTGGATCTTGATAAGTTTTGATGAACAAAACTAAACGAATAACCTTGAATGATGTCATGACTTGTAACTCTTTGCAAATTCGTAACTTGTACACCAAGAGAACCATATGAACGAATCTTCTAACTTCATCTTGAATCAACCATTTCCAAATCATGAAATTGAGACCTTGAGCTTATATTAATCGTGAGCATAATTAGTAGTTTCAACGAATCCAGATCGCTAGTCATTTCCCTCAATAGTCCAAATTAACTTGCAATTGAAGTAACAAATATTTGATGAGAACCAAAGACTGTATTATTCGAAACAAGTCCATGATGTTGAAGAAGGAGAACCCAAGATAACCACAAAATCAAGCCTTACTCCAATAATCTCCAAATGAAGCATAACAGAAGAAAACCCTAATTCTTAAGCCTTGACGAAAGATTGAAACCTGATGCTGAGGAGAGAGAATATTCCTAATTCCTCGAAATCCCTGATTTCAAGTCGAACTATCGATTGATGATGCATGATGCGTCAGATGACCTAATGAAGGTTACGTACCTCAATCTGAATTAAATCCACAGATTCTAGCCACCTTTCATTTGAAGCGACCAACCACCATTCCGAGGGAGAAACCCTAATGCCAAAGCTCTTTGATCTTATAAACATGAGGCCAATGCTATGTGCGAAATGTATGAAGTATAATGAGGGATCTTAGGGGCAAATATTGGGATACAACAGCTGCCCTTATTTAAGTGTCTTCTACCCGGAGATAGGAAGATTAAAGTCTTCGTTTCAAAGTGATCGAAGATACTTAAATATAAAACAAGTCCTATTTTTGGCCCTAAGAAACCATGCGATGCTTATGATTATGGACGCAGATAGACAAATCTAGAGACGCAAGACACCACTGGGGATGTAGCAAAGGAAACAGAAATCGAAAAGAAACCCAACCAGGAAAATAAATCACTGGTGAGCAAAAAATATGACTCTATTGGGGTAAAACCCAGAGAAGAGATAAGGTAGCATCAACTCAATAAATGAGGAAAAAGGCAGTGGGTAACAACGATCGACAAATAACTGTGCACTACCAACTCCATAGTCGAAGGTAGAAACGTAATAAGATACTGGCTCACAGATGACAGCGAATTAACAACTCAATAGTTGAAGGTAGAATATAAAGAGATACCTATTCACGGATGACGGTGAACTACCAACTCAATAGTCGAAGGTGGAAGGTCAAAAGGATATTGACTCATAGATGATAGTAAACTACCAACTCAACAATTGAAGGTAGAAGATCATAAATAAACCGACTCACAGATGACAGTAAACTACCAACTCAATAGTCAAAGGTAGAAGATAAAGAAAAAGATACTGACTCACAGATGACGGTAAACTACTAACTCAATAGTTGAAAGTAGAAGATCAAAAAGAAACCGACTCACAGATGACGGTAAACTACCAACTCAATAATCGAAGGTAGAAGATAAAGAAAAAGATACTGACTCACAGATGACGGTAAACTACTAACTCAATAGTTGAAAGTAGAAGATCAAAAAGAAGTTGACTCACAAATGACGATAAACTACCAACTCAATAGTCGAAGGTAGAAGATAAAGAAAAAGATACCGACTCACAGATGACGGTAAACTACTAATTCAATAGTTGAAAGTAGAAGATCAAAAAGAAACCGACTCACAGATGAAGGTAAACTACCAACTCAATAGTCGAAGGTAGAAGATAAAGATAAAGATACCGACTCACAAATGACGGTAAACTACCAACTCGATAGTCGAAGGTAGATGATAAAGAGATACCGACTCACGGATGACGGTGAACTACCAACTCGATAGTCGAAGGTAGATGATAAAGAGATACCTACTCACGGATGATGGTGAAGTACCAACTCAATAGTTGAAGGTAGAAGGTCAAAAGGATATCGACTCATAGATGACAGTAAACTACCAACTCAATAGTTGAAGGTAGAAGATAAAAAAGAAACCGACTCACAGATGACGGTAAACTACCATCTCAATAGTCAAAGGTAGAAGATAGAAAAGATACTGACTCATAGATGATGGTAAACTACCAACTCAATAGTTGGAGGTAGAAGATAGAAAAGATACAGACTCATAGATGATGGTAAACTACCAACTCAATAGTTAAAGGTAGTAGGAAGGATTGGTAATAACAAGTTTCCCAAAGTCATGGATTTTCACCAAGAACGGATCTTAACTTCTTCTTTAACCAAGGAATTTCGCCTGGAAAGGGTAATATATAAGCTGTCTCAAATAAAGAGGCTACCACTTATAAAGATTCCTCGACCAATTGTCTCTGCGATATTGAAAGACTTGCCATCCACTGGAGTAATTTGACAACAAACTGCAAACTATCCACTTATATGGATAACCACCCTGACTATAACCCAAATGAGGACCAGGATATGAATTCCACGAAGAAGCCGAAGCAAATGAACTTGGTCTCAAAGATGAATCCTGCCTCAAATTTTCCTCTTTAGAACTTTGTCACCCTATCAACTTAATTCTCTGATTTTTTTTTTGTTTTTCTTTGGTTATTGATGAATGCAGATCCGAAATTTGGTCGTAGATTTATGATGCTTAAATGCTTTTGTTTATGACTGTTTTTGAATATTTAGTGTAAATTTTTGTTTTGATTTAGCAATTTTGGATGTAAATTGCCTTTGGAATTTTCTCTTGTAATGCTCCAATAACATAGCTTGTAAATTGCATGGTTATGACCGAGAATGAAGTTGGATAATATTTTGACAAGTCATGCGTGGTGTTTAGAACTTGTAAAGATCATATCATTGAATGAATGTGAACCCTTGGATCTTGATAAGTTTTGATGAACAAAACTAAACGAATAACCTTAAATGATGTCATGACTTGTAACTCTTTGCAAATTCGTAACTTGTACACCAAGAGAACCATATGAATGAATCTTCTAACTTCTTCTTGAATCAACCATTGCCAAATCATGAAATTGAGACCTTGAGGTAATATTAATCTTGAGCACAATTAGTAGTTTCAACGAATCCAGATTGCTAGTCATTTCCCTCAATAGTCCAAGTTAACTTGCAATTGAATTAACAAATATTTGATGAGAACCAAAGACTGTATTGTTCGAAACAAGTCCATGATGTTGAAGAAGGAGAAGCCAAGATAACAATAAAATCGAGCCCTACTCCAATGATCTCCAAATGAAGCATAATAGAAGAAAACCCTAATTCTTAAGCATTGATAAAAGATTGCAACCTGATGCTAAGGAGAGAGAATATCCCTAATTCCTCGAAATCCCTGATTTCAAGTCGAAATATCGACTAATGATGCATGATGCGTCAGATGACCTAATGAAGGTTACGTACCTCAATCTCAATTAAATCCACAGATTATAGCCACCTTCCATTTGAACCGACCAACCACCATTCCGAAGGAGAAACACTAATGCCAAAGCTCTTTGATCTTATAACCATGAGGCCAATGCTATGTGCAAAATGTATGAAGTATAATGAGGGATCTTAGGGGCAAAAATTGGGGTACAACAGTAAGTGAAAGGTTTTATGGAAGATAATCTTGCAGGGACTGTTTTTCCTCTACCGTCACATATGTATCTTATTGATTACTTACGTTAGTTCTATTTTCATTCATATTTCCATGTACTATGTCAAAACCATATTTATGTCTATGCAATAGTTTTACAATTTTCCTCGGTTTGTTTAATTGACGATATCTCAATTGATTAAACAACTCGATTACTCATAGGCTCAAGTATTTGATATGGATCTTAAACATATTTATATGTCTAGAAATTAGTATTTAAGTGATTCTTATCTTTTGTTCTTGAATTCAAATTCAATTTTCATTAACAATTGGATTCATTAAAATTTAGCACTATAAAGAAGATAGAATCAATAATCATGAAAACATTCTTTATATTCAAAGCATAATCGAATAAGATACATACGATTTGGTAGAGTATTCCAAACCCTAGAGAGAGAGAGTTTAGCTATCCATGCTCATGGTAGCTTGCACAAAAAGGAAGAGTTGGAGATGAATGAGCATCAATGACGATTCCTAGATCTTTGATGCTTGTCCAGCTCGTATCTTTGATTACCTATCCTAATTATCTATTACAACCTTTCTGTATTCAACTAATATCAACTGTAATTTCTAAAAAACCAGATATCCTTCTGCAATTGATCTTGGTCCCTTTTATAGATTTTCTGGACGCCTGAGTTTGCTGAGCGAACCATACTTCACTTCGGGAGGCCTATGTTTCTTATCAATTTAGTTTTTATCTTGCAACTTGTCTTCTGAGTGCGCCAAAGTTCGCTTCGCGAACTCTGTTACTTTAGCTTTAAGGAATCAGAACTCTGGACTTTGCTCTTCCTCGCTTCCAGTGAACTTTAGAATTTTTGCTACTGACTTGGTTTCGCTACGCGAACCGAATCGGGCTTTCGCTGCCTTTCATTTTCTTTCTCTTCCAGTGAACCTGGGGTCTTCAGTTCTGGAATTTTAATTTCGCTTCGCGAGATAAGTTCGCTTAGCGAACGTTCTTTTTCTAGAATTTTGCTGTAGCGAAACAGGACAATGTTTTTTCTTGTTTTCTTCATCTTATGGTCTTCTTTCCTGCAAAGTTTGAGCATAGTTAGTAAGAATACCATTTATTTGATAAAATACTTGGTTTGTATGATTAAATTCTTTAGAAAACTCGATAAATGCTCAACTTTCATAGAATACTTTTTGTCGTTCTTGAGCATTTATCACTTTCCACCAAACAAAACTCGAGAGTCGAATCTCAATGAGTGCAGTATCGAGTATCAACTAACTTCGGACTGCACCAAAGCCGGCTATCTCACTACCTTCTAATAGCTAAGTTGGGTTAATTATGGTTCTAAGGTCAGTTAGTGCTTATGACACCACGCGACAGCCTAATATACTCCCCGACTGAATCGAGGGATACTAGTACAAACCAATGTGTCGCACTAATGTAACCATCACTTCAACCATATCGGTATACACCGTATAATTTCCATAATCTATTGCTACTTACCTAAAATGTTCCCCAGATACGGGTATAGGATATTTACAAGAAATAAAATCCAAACACTTCTTAAAAATAAAGCAGACAAATCAAACAAAGAAAGCATTT